CAGGCGCACAGCGTCACTTTGGGCAGCATTTGGTGGCGGAGGAGACAAGCAGCCATCTCCACAGGCACGCCGTGAGCCCCAAGCCACCGGGCGATGCGGAGGGACGGGAGCGAGTCATAGTACCTCTCGACGTCGGCCTGGGCGATCGCAGACCGGCCGAAGTTGTCTATGCCCTTCTCGATGACGGACTGCAAACCGTGGGCAACGTCTAAACATTGGGTGCGCGGGCGAGCCCCGACAAAGCACTCGGGCACCTCCGGCAGCGCCGCGTCGACCCAGGCCTGGCAGGCCAGGAGCAAGACCGAGTCCATGACCTGCATGACTGCCGGCAGCGGGAGCACGGCGCGGGTCTCCTCCACCTTGGCGATCGCCGACACCTTCCCCAGCACCAGCCCTTTCACCTCGAGCTGCGCCATGGCCGGCGCGCTGCCCAACGACGTGGAGAGCAGGCGGGTGACTGCTTCAGGCCGGACCCAGAAAACCATCAGAATCGCAGCAACGGAAACTCCATAATGGCCCAACTTACCCTTCCGCCGGATCTTCGACAACGCCTTCCTGAGTTGCTCCTCGGAGATGGGCGCCGCGGAGCCTTCGAATGGCAGGATGGCGTCAAGCAAGTTGACTCTGTGCTGCAGCTTCTTCGCGCCCCATTTGACGGAGAAGTGGCTGCCGAGCGATTCCCCCCACGCGGCCGGGTCAGAAGTGCGCGCGCGCTGCTGGCCAGCAGGAGCTGGAAGTACGACCTCTTTCAGCGGGCGCAGCTTTTTCGCCTTCTGGAAAACCTTCCCTCGGCCAACAGATTCTGCAAGATCTCGCCTGCGCCATGCGCTGCACCAAGCTTCTCGGCGCTGCCATGCCTCCCTCTGCAGCGCCCGCCGTCGACGCTCGCCCCGTGAGCCCGCGAGCTGCGAGTACAAGCAACGAATATGGAAGGGAAGACGCGCGTGACGCTGCTGCCGGCAGGCGTCCGTGTCCTGCCACCTGCCCTGCACCTCGTGGAGAGACTTGTGGAAGGTATCTATGCTGCCGAAATCGCCCGGGGCCTCGGAATGCAACCAGTGCAAGCACGCCTCCTCGTCCAAGCACTTCCAAGACGACTTGTGCCCGCGCCGGAGCGCGGAATAGTAGTCAAAATTTGATATCCGACTGGTTTCCGGGTGATCGGCGATAGAATGCACTGCTCCGCGAACGGGCCGCCGGGCACCGAAACCACCTCCTGCGGCAGCTCGATCTGCAACGCGAACCGGTCCACCAAAGACTGCAAACGGTCTCGTTCAGCAGCATGGTGATCATCTCGGGCCGGGAGGCCTGCGAAAGGATCTCCCGCTAGGTCGGGCAGCTGATCCGCATTCCAATCGCCAATCATGACGACAGTACTGCCCCATGGCCGCCCTCTTAAAAGACAACTGACATCGGCGAGAACATCCGTCTGGGACTCGCCATGCGAAATATGTACACCCACCAAGAACACGTTGATGGAATCATTGATGTGGCCCCCACGCTGAAATAGATGAAGAGCGCCACACCTGCCAGACCAGCGAACCTCACGAATCAGGTGCTTCAGACTGGCTCTAACGATGAATTCCATGGCCCAGCTCCCCTCGCCAGGCCAATGACGATAATGCAACAAGGAGCTGCCAGGCGCTGCCTGGCGGTGAGACCTGTACCCGTCGACCTCCGACAGGAAGATGACGGACCACTGAGGGAGCACGTCAGCCACCGCACCCACCAAAGCCTGCCGGTCAGCCCACGCTGCAGAAGCCCTGCCGCAGTTGACTGCCGCGACCTTCAGCCTCGTACGAGTGACGTCTAGTCACTCCTCGTCCGCGTACTGGTTCGCCTCATCCAGCGCGTCCGAAGGATAGCGGGCGCGCGCCCATGGAGACCAGTGCCATTGGCCCCCCGCTACGAAGCCGATCCTCTTGTTACCCTCTGCCTTGATATACTTGCCGTCGAGGCCCTTCTCGAGCTTCAGCGGCGGCTCCATATTGGCCTCCATCTCTTCGATCATGTCGAACGCCCTGTGCACGATCCGCGCCGGCCGGAGCTCTGCGCGGTCCTTGAGCACATCCAACCAGAGAGTCTCCCCGTTCGGAGTTTCGAAAGACTTCCTCAAAGCACGCACATGGAGCCTCGCCTTCTGGAGGACCTCCGGGGACTTGAAGCACAACTCAGCCTGCGAGCCTTCACGCCTGGGCGCAGACAAACCGCTGAAGTCCGTGTCCGGGATCCCTGCCGCCTGGAGGACCTCCCGGGCGCGTGCTAGGATGACGTCCGGCTTGTCGTTCCAACCCAGGTTGCCGATCTTCGCGATGACCCGCTTCTCGTAGGGCACACGCTGCCCTGGACCATGGCTTGCCGAAGATGCCGAAGAGCTCTTCATCTTCTCCTCGAGCTCCTGCACGGCCGCATTGGCCGCCTTCGCTGCTTCCTCCGCCGCCTTGAGGCGCTTCTCGGTGTCGACGTTGACGGTCTCCAGGCTGGAGATGCGGCCCTCGTGGGCGTCCACCTTCACGGACGTATCCGTCGCCGAGGCCTCCACGGCAGTCAGGCGCTTGTCGACCTTGGCTCCGAAGATCTCCATGGTGACCCGCTGGGACTCAGCCACAGACCCCCCCAGCCACTGAAGCTGCTGCTGGGAAAATAGAGGTGCACCTGAAGGCGAAGAGGGCCGCTTCTGCGAACCGTTGCCGCCGCTAGCCGCGGCAGCCTGGCCCTGGCCACTCCTCTTGTGTGCCGGAGACGTGTCGAAAGCGAAGATGTTGCGGATGGTGTTGCCCACCTTGTCGCCGATCTCGTTGAAAGCCGCCATGCCTGAGCGAACCCGGGCAGCTAGGAGGGGCACTGTAGAACTACGCTTGGCCTGCGCTCCCTTGAGCCAAAATGGCTAGGGTGTTGACTCTGTGTTTGATCGTCCCTGGGCCTGAGAACGGCGCCCAGAGGCCGAGGTCGAGGAACAACGGGCACGGATTCGAAGCAGGTCGAAAGATTCAAGTAACAAACTAAATCGAGAAGAAGGAGGATCTCCCCCCCAAGGAGGACGAGCTGCCTCGACGATGTTGGAGCTGTGAGACTCGTAAGCCTTTGCGGCGGGCGCGCCCATCGGGTCCTCGTCGCTGCCGTCCTGGTGGGCAAGAAGGCCAGCAAGATGACGAAGACAAAAACGACGGCGACGACGACGGCTACGACGACGGCGGCGGCAGGAGCAGCGACGACGAGGACGACGACGACGACAACGACCACGACGACGACGACGACGACGACGACGACGACGACGACGACGACGACGACGACGACGACGACCACGACCACGACGACGACGACGACCAAGACCACGACGACGACGACCACCACCACCACCACCACAACGACAACGACAACGACCACGACCGCGACCACCATTACCACCACCACCATCACCACTACGACGGCAGCGACCCCCCATCTTAAACATCCGCTCTGGGACATCCCCTGGGATGCGTTCTGATTCGAGTTTCGACGGGAATCGAGCCGTGGCAACGAAGACACCACAGGAGGCCAAAATTAGAACGATCCTCGGATCCCGTTCTTCGAACAACGACGACGACGACGAAGACGACGACGTCGACGACCGCGACGACGACGACGACGACGACGACGACGACGACGACGACGACGACGACGACGACGACGACGACGACGACGACGACGACTACAGGGGCGGCCCTCGGAGGCGGTCGGCGCCGTGCGTCGTCGCCCGTCGTCGTCGTCCGTCGCTCGTCGTCCGTCGTCGTCCGCCTCCGTCGCTTCTCCTCACCAGCGCCGAGGGTCGCCGCCTCCGCCGAGAGCCCCGAGCCGAACCCCGTGGGCGGATGCGTCAACGCCGTTCGCCGGAGGTGCCACGCGGCGCGTCGACGCGGCGAGGTCGGCCCCGTCCTTTTCGGGGAAAAAGCGAATACTCCAGGTCTCGTAAGAAAAGGGGTGGGGTCACAACCCTCCCAGACCCCTCCAGACTAGCCACGAAAGGGCGGCTGTTTGCCTAGACCTCCCTGGAACCCTCCAAGACAGCTCCAATCAGACCCCCCCCCATATCAGACCACCCCCCTTTAATTACGGAATCCAGAGTTTAAACGTTCGGAGATCCGCTCGGATTCCTCGGATCGGCGCTGGAGCCCCTGGCGGCGCCTCCGTCGCGTCACTGGCACGCTCCGAGGGGGTTCCAGCGCTGATCCAAGGAATCCGCGCTGAGCTCCGAAAATTGATGTATGTGTATGTCGTGAGGTTGCTTCTCCACGTTTTTCCCTGCCCGCAGCGGGTGCCGATGCCAATACGCTCGCGGACTGAAAAGGTACTCCCACTCGGCGATACTCGCATGCGCAGTGCAGCATCAGCAGAGCGGAGCTCTTGCAGCAACATGCGAGGCGTCGGCGGGGGACACCGCCCCGACAAGCCCATTCACGAACGCAAGGTCATCGATCATCTTTCCTCGACGATTGCGGACATGGGATCGTCGATCATTGATCCGCGAAAATGGCGGATGGCCTTCTCGATCGTCGACTCTCGATCCGCGAAAATGCCGAAAAACCTCTTCGATCCTCGATCCGCGAAAACGTTGGAAAACAACCTACCTCCTACTTCTGCTGCCACTCCTGCTGCTCATCGCCCTCATCTACGTCCATGATCATCCTACTCCTTCTCCGTCTACATCCAATTTCTCCGATCCTTGATCCTCAATCCTCGATCACCCCCTCGATCCTCCTCGATCATCGATCTTCCTCGATCTTCCTCGATCCTCCTCGATCCTCCTCGATCCTCCTCGATCAGCGATCTTCATCCATCCTCGATCCTCGATCAGTCCTCGATCCTCCTCGCTCCTCGATCTTCGACCCTCCTCCTCGATCATCATCGATCCTCGATACCCGATCCACCTCAATCCTCATCGCTCCTCGATCCCTGATCCTCCCCTTTGATCCTCGATCATCCTCTTCGATCCTCGATCCTCGATTCTCCCCCTCGATCCTCGATCCTCCTCCTCCTCCTCCTCGATCCTCGATCCTCGATCCTCCTCCTCGATCCTCAATCCTCCTCGTGCCTCGGGGGGGGCCGGTCCCCGTCGTCGGCACGGCTCTGCGCCAGGGCCATCAGCTTCTGCCCGTCGCGCTGTGGCAGCGCGGCAGCCTCGCCGTCGCGGCGCGGCGAGAGCGGAGAAGAATTAGAAGAAGAAGAAGAAGGAGAAGGAGAAGGAGAAGAAGAAGGATAAGGAGAAGGGTAAGAAGGAGAAGAAGGAGAAGAATAATACTTAGAAGAAGAAGACGAAGGCGAAGAAGAAGAAGAAGAAGAGCAAGAAGAAGAAGAAGAAGGAAAAGAAGGAGAACGGCGGCGGCGGCGAGGGCGACGAGGGCGATGACGAGCAGGGCTGCGAGGACGAGGACGAGGGTGAGGAGGGCGAGGAGAGGGCGACGAGGACGAGGGGGGCGAGGGCGCCGAGGAAACGGACGAGGATGAGGGCCTGGTGGTGCACCCGCGCTCCCAGGGGGGCGCCGAGGGAACAGCCGGTTCGCCGCCCCCACCCCTCGGTCTGATTACCTAAGGCATGTGCGCCCTCGGCCTGATTAAGGCATGTGCGCCCCCACCGCGGGAGCACGCGCGCTCCTCCTCCGTCGAAATGCTCACCATATGCCCCGATATGCCCCCGCCACAGATGTGACTTTGTGGCGGCGCCGCCATGCACACCATATTCCCGAGCATGGACACACACACACACACACGTTCGCCCTGATGCCCTCTCGCCTCATTCCCGCGGAGCACGAAGGGTGACGAAGAGAAACGGGTCTTACGCGAGATCATGCAGCGACCTCACGCGGTGGTTTACGCGGGCCGCCAGCGCGGCACGCCACATTGGAAACGAGGGCGCTTACGCGCCACCCCACGCGGGCAGCTCACGCGCGAAGGTCGGTGAAGACAAACCCGTTTTCCCTCGTCGCGCCCGCGCGCCCCCCTTCCCTCAAAATAACATCGACTCCTGGACCCATCCCGGGGCGCGCGCTCTGGCCAGAATTCCGCGGCGAATCTGGCCGCGGCGACGCAGAGCGGCCCTGGAAGCCGAGAATCGCCCTGAAAACGTCCAAGAGCCTCGACCCCCCCAACCTCGAACCTCGAAGTTCCCGAGGACGAGGGCGAGGACGAGGGCAGGGGCGGCGAGCGCGGCGAGGGCGGCGCGGACGACGACGATGGCGAGGACGAGCGGGAGCAGTTGCAGCAGCGATAGGGGCGGCAGCCGGACGAGGGGCACGAGCGTGAGCACGAGGGCGAGGAAACGGAGCAGGATGCCCAGATTCGACGACCTACGCTCAACGACGGACTAACTTCTAAAGGAGGAGGGGAAGGAGGAGGCGGAGGAGGAGGCCCCGAGAAACTTCGACCCCGTCTCCCTGGTGTAATGTTTCATCCCCGGCCCATGTGTGGTGGCCCCCGGGCCCGAAAGCAACCCACGGAGGCCGAAATCGATGTGAAAAAACAAGGGGTTGAACAGGTAGGACAATGGAGGAGGAGGGGGAGGAGGAGGAGGAGGAGGATCAGCAGCAGCAGCAGGAGAAGGAAGAGGAGAAGGAGGAGAGGGAGGAGAAGGAGGAGGGAGAGTAGGGCGAGGAGAAGAGGAGGAGGAAAGGAGGAGGAGGAGGAATCGGAATAGGAATCGGAACAATCGCGAAGCGATATCAATACTACCTCGAACACTGAACTCGACGGCGCGCACGACAATGAAGTAGGTCACCGTGACCGCGACCATCCAGCACAGCTACCTTTCTTCACTGCTGCTTGCAACCTTCGCCAGGCAGGGCGGCAGGAGGAACAGGCGTCGGCGATGCTCTAGCAACTGCAACCGTTTTTTCCCCGAGAGAACGGAACAATGAGGCGATGTCGGTGCCCTGGGAAACAACATCCACGGCAGGAGGTGCAACACGATGTAGCCCACGATGGTTCCATAGAGCATCCGCGTCGCGCAAAAGCCTCTCCCGCTCAGCAGCCCAGCCGCCCTCGGCGCCCGCACCCGCCGCCTGCGGTCGGCCAGCCGCCTGGGCAGTCACCCCCCGCAGGGGCCCTCCAGCCGAATCGCTGCTGCCACGCGCCCCGAAGTCTGCATTCTCCTCGACGACGTCCACGACCTTCGGCGGCGTCCGCAAAGTGGCGGCATCACGAGTAAGGCGCGCACGATCCTCCTCCCAGCGTCGGACACGGACTCGCTGCAGGAATGGGCGCCTTGAGGGCCCAACCAGCGTCTAGCTCTGGATCTGGGCCTCCACCTCGGAAATGCGCGTCTCGACCGACAAAGGACACGATATATCTCCAGCTCCGTTGGCTGCCACCTTATGGGAAGAACCGTTGGGCAATGAAACAGCCGCAGAATCACCCCCTACATCTCCAGGCTCCTCCTCAGCAGCGGCGTCCGCGACGGTCGCAGCAAGCGGCTGTCCGCACAGGGGCGCCGATGAGAAAACAACCGAACCGCGCCCTCAAAATGCGTCTCGACGGGCCCCCAGACGCCGTGGCAGTCGACCGGCTCGACCTTCTCGGAATGGGGCACGAACTGCGGAGCGTCCACATTCCACCCGAGCCGAACGTGCGCGTCGACATCCACCGAAGGCCCGTTGCGGAGCGGCTCGTGCCGAGCTCTATCACCAGCAACCTTGATTTCCCGTGCTCGTACAAACCAGTCAGGAGGCACGCCCGCAAGGCCCGCAACCTCGCGCAAAGCATCACCCAGACGATGACGGTGCCCTCCGAGGTGCGAATCGGTCTGGCGATGAAGCAGCAACGCCCTGCCGAGTGCTGCAAGGCGAGCGGCCAGCTCCACGGCGTCGCCCTCCAAGACCTGCAGCTCTTCCAGGGCGTAGCTGCCTGCCTCGTCGATGACTCCTTGGACACGCCGCTCAGCACGTTCCTTGCGGAGCCTCCGCGCCAGATTGCGGGCTGACTTGCGAGCGCAAACTTTCCCTTGTCCACCAGGCACTTGCTCGGGTGCAACACCCCGCAGGCCTCCCGTCGCCATCCCAAGCTCCTCAGCAGCGCTCCGCCTGCGGTCCGGACCGGAGGGACATGCCTTGCCGGCTCGAGCCAGGGGGTCGCCCGCTGTGGGCGGCTTGAGCCAAAATGGCTACGGAGGAGGAGGAGGAGGAGGAGGAGGAGAGGAAGGAAGGAGGAGGGAGGGAGGAAGGAGGAGGGCGGACCGGGGGAGGAGTAGCAGAAGGGGCACGACGAGGATCAGAAGCTGATAGGGGGGGAACCCGCCGCCGCCAAGCCCGCGGGAGCGGAAGGGGCAGGAGGCCTCCTCCTGCGCCCGACAAACCTCGATCCTCTGCCGCGGCGCTGAACCCCGAGGATCGAAGAAGGCTCCCTCGTCCTCCTCCGCCTCCTCCTCCTCCTCCACCTCCTCCTCCTCCTCCTCCTCCGCAACCTCCTCTGCTTATTCTTAGTAGTATAAGAATTGCTAGGAATACGAATATTTCTACGAATGCGAATGATACCCATAATAATGATGAGCGTAATCACAAATCGTAATGTTGATACCACTGGTAAAAATGGTAATTCACATAATAATACGAATAATGCGAATAAGAGTTATGATGCAACTACAAACTCGAATACGAATGGCATGAATGAGACTACTCAGAATCACACTCATAATCACGATGAAAGTCGTAAGCCTACTCACACATAAAACATACTAAAACTGAAAAATAATGATACGAATAACACAAGTAACAATAATGTTGCTCACTATGCTACTAACAATATACGGTTAGTATGAGTATCATTACGACGTCGGATAATAATAGTACGATTATGACTACTACGAGTAATAATACTACAGTTCGTAATATTACTGATGCTAACCGCATTCGTAGTAGTATAAGTGTTGCTCTTCTTGGTGTGATATAATAAGAGTAGTAATAATCTGAGTCGCATTGCAACTGAAATGAATGTTCATAGTAGCAGTAGAATTCGTACTAGCAGTCGTAGTACTACTCGTATGTTCTTTCCCCAATAATAAGATGAGTCGTATGATTATTCGTAGCAACCGTATGTTTAGCAATCTGAACAGCATTGGTACTACGACTAGTCATAGTAATATTAGTGAAAGTCTTATGCGCATTATTCCCAACCATCCTGTGGTGTTGGGTCCTCGTTTTGAAGAGACAGCGCCCCGCGTCCCTCACTCACTCCTCCTCTCCCTCCTCCCTCCTCCCTCTCCGCGTCAGCCACACCCACTTCGGCACACCCCTCACACGTTTCGTGGCCCCTATAAGCAGCTCCACCGAAAGCTCCAGTGGCTGCGTTCGCATGGCGGCACCGCGCCCATTTCGGCACACCCCTCACACGTTTCGTGGCCCCATAGGGAGCTCCACCGAGGGCCCCAGCGGCTGCGTTCGCATGGCGGCACCGCACCCATTTCGGCACACCCCTCACACGCTTCGTGGCCCCATAGGGAGCTCCACCGAAGGCCCCAATGGCTGCGTTCGCATGGCGGCACCGCACTCATTTCGGCACACCCCTCACACGTTTCGTGGCCCCATAGGGAGCTCCACCGAGGGCTCCAGTGGCTGCGTTCGCATGGCGGCACCGCGCCCATTTCGGCACACCCCTCACACGTTTCGTGGCCGCAGAGGGAGCTCCACCGAAAGCCCCAATGGCTGCGTTCGCATTGCGGCACCGCACACTCACACGTTTCGTGCCCCAGCCCCTGGCATGGCGCACCGCTTTCGTGGTTTCGTGGCCCCATAGGGAGCTCCACCGAAGGCCCCAATGGCTGCGTTCGCATGGCGGCACCGCACCATTTCGGCACACCCCTCACACGTTTCGTGGCCCCATAGGGAGCTCCACCGAGGGCTCCAGTGGCTGCGTTCGCATGGCGGCACCGCGCCCATTTCGGGACACCCCTCACACGCTTCTTGGCCCCATAGGGAGCTCCACCGAGGGCCCCAGTGGCTGCGTTCGCATGGCGGCACCGCACCCATTTCGGCACACCCCTCACACGTTTCGTGGCCCCATAGGGAGCTCCACCGAAGGCCCCAATGGCTGCGTTCGCAAGGCGGCACCGCGCCCATTTCGGCACACCCCTCACACGCTTCGTGGCCCCATAGGGAGCTCCACCGAGGGCCCCAGTGGCTGCGTTCGCATGGCGGCACCGCGCCCATTTTGGCACACCCCTCACACGCTTCTTGGCCCCATAGGGAGCTCCACCGAGGGCCCCTGTGGCTGCGTCCGCATGGCGGCACCGCGCCCATTTCGGCACACCCCTCACACGCTTCGTGGCCCCATAGAGCTCCACCGAAGGCCCCAATGGCTGCGTTCGCATGGCGGCACCGCGCCCATTTCGGCACACCCCTCACACGTTTCGTGGCCCCTTAGGGAGTTCCTCTCTCCTCCGCCTCCTCATCCTCCGCCCCCTCCTCCTGAGCCTCCTCCTCCTCCTCCTCCCCCTCCTCCTCCTGCCCCTCCTCCTCCCCTCCTCCTCCTCCTCCGCCTCCTCCTCCTCCCCCTCCTCCTTCTCCTTGTCTCCTCCCCCTGCCCACACAAGACAAAAATTGTCCCAGTGCGACCCTACCTAGGAGTTGGAACCCCTAGGAAAGCAGCATTAGTAGTAACAGTAACGCTAAGCTAAAGCTAAAGCTAAGCTAAAGCTAAGCTAAAGCTAATACACAGCTAAGCTAAAGCTAAGCTAAAGCTAAGCTAAAGCTATGCTAAAGCTAAGCTAAAGCTAAGCTAAAGCTAAGCTACAGCTAAGCTCAAGCTAAGCTCAAGCTAAGCTCAAGCTAAGCCAAAGCTAAGCTAAACGCTAAGCGAAACGCTAAGCGAAAAGCTAAGCGAAACGCTAAGCTAAAGCTAAGCTACAGCTAAGCTAAAGCTAAGCTAAAGCTAAGCTAAAGCTAAAGCTCCCAGGGGACTGGGGGGAACCGCGGGGCGGGGACTGGGGGAACCGCCCGGGGCGCTTTGCACTGCCCGGCCCCTTTAAGCTAAGAGAGTAAGAACCCTTCTAGGCAGAGCCTAGGTAGGGAAAAACTCGATTGTCGACCTCGATCCTCGAATGTCAAGGAAGACTCCCACGTCGTCGTCGTCGTCGACGTCGTCGTCGTCGTCGTCCTCATCGTCGTCGTCATCCTCCTCCTTCTCCTCCTCCTTATCCACCTCCACCTCCTTCTCCTCCTCATCCTCCTCCATCCTTTCATTTAAAGACGACCCCTCCCTGTCGCTCCACCAGACGTTTCGGCAAGGCGGGCCGGGCATCACCCTGAGGCTTCCTCGCCATGTGTGGTCCTGAAACTGGAGATCTCAGGCTGAAACACAAGTGGGCTTTCCAAAACGGGTCTCTCGTCTCAGCGCCGCGCGCGCTCGTGATGGAACCGTGCAACAGCTACGAGGACGGAAGGCGGTGCTCTTTCTCCATTGGGCGCTCGCCTCAGCACCCCGCGCACGCTCGTCCGAAGAGCTTGCAGCGGTTATCAAGATGCAGGGCGAGTCGTTTCAAAATGGGACTCTCGCATTGGCGCACCGCGCAAAGTTCCCCAAAAATATTGCAACAGCTACGAAGATGAGAGGCGGCTCATTCACAACGAAGTTATCGCTTCAGGTTTCGTAAGATTCAACTAGGAGGAAACGATGATTGGAAACACGAGACTTTTCAGAATGGAGCGCTCGCTGGAGACCTTCTCACATTCGGTGGCCAGAAGTGCAACTTGGTGCAACGAATGCACGGATGAGGCGGCTCCTTTTCAGACTAGGACTCTCCTGGGACACCTCGGTATGATCATAATTTTCAACTTCCGCACAGCTCGCTAGAAGGATGCAAGGCAGTGTTCTGTTTCAAGGCGGGGCTCTCGAATGAATGGCAGGCCCCGAAGGCACTCGTCCTTCAAGGGGACGCTTCTGATAATGGAATGGACAAAGTGTGGGGATCTATGGGCAGGGTACTGGGGCGGGAAGGTGTGCTGCAGCATCGTTGATGCATCCTGGATTACTCTGGTCCTCATCCTGCTCATACTCCCGCTTCCTCCTCCCATCCCTCCCCCTCCTCTTCAGATTCGTCCTCCTTTCAAAATCCCAGGAAGCGAAGAATGGACTGGCAAATGCCAAAACGCATCAACCTTCGATCCTCCTCCACATCCCCCACCATCCTCCCCCACCCACGCGCATCCCTCCTTGTGGAACAGAGTAGTTATCCTCCTCCTCCTCCTCCTCCTCCTCCTCCTCCTCCTCCTCCTCCTTCTCCTTTTCCTTCTCCTCCTCCTCCTCTTCTTCCTCCTCCTCCTCTTTTTCCTCCTCCTCACTCTCACTCAGAAAATGACGACATCAAGGTCCCGCTGCCGATCCTCTGCACAGATTGGGACGACGAGGAAATGAGGGAGGCGGGTCCTCCCTCGTGCGGGGGGGAGGGGGGGAGGGCGCGCCTCGATGACAGCCTGTAGGGCCCTGATCAGCGACGCGGTGTTGCGGGTGTCGATGGTGCGCTGCACGAGCGCGGAGGTCTGACGTGCGCGGGGAGGAGGAGGAGGAGGAGGAGGAGGAGGAGGAGGAGGAGGAGGAGGAGAGGAACGGGAAGGGGGGATGGCAGAGATAGAGCAGATGACGAAGGCTTGCGTCAGCCCTCCGACAGCCGCACGAACGACTCGTAGCTCATCCCATCCGCGCCGCCCGGCCTCGCCTGAGGAAGGGCGTCGCATATACACGCACACACACACACACACTCACACCGCTGGCTGGCCGACCCCTACCGGGTGGGTCGGGTGGGGTCGGTGCGGGCGGGACCCGAACGAGCGGGTCGGGGAGGGTCGGGCGGGACATGAAAATAGGGCGCAGCATGGAGGTGACACGCGTGACCCTTAGGTCGGGTCGGGTCGGGCGGGACCCTGGCGGGCGGGTCGGGTCGGGTTGGGCCGGGCGGGACATTAAACTATGGCGCGCCATGGAGGTGGCACGCGTGAACCCAAACGGGCGGGTCGGGTCGGGTCGGGTCGAGTCGGGCGCGAGCGGATCGGGTCGGGTCGGGTCGGGCCGGGGCGGGCGTGGCCCTGGGCACTCGGGGCATGAAAAAACCTCATCATGGAGGTGGCCGCGTGAACCCTAACGGGCGGGTCGGGTCGGGCTGGGCGAGACCCTGACGGGCGTCGGGCTGGACCAGGTCGGGCGGGGCCCTAACGGGCGGGTCGAGGCGTGCCGGGCGGGACCCTGAAGGGCGCGTGGGGCCGGGTCGGGCGGGACATTAGCTATGGTACATCATAGAAGTGGCACGCGTGATCCCCAACGGGCGGGTCGGGTTGGGTCGGGCAGGACCCTAACAGGCGGGTCGACTCGTGTCGGAGGGGTCCCTACAGGCGGGTCGGGGCGGGACATGAAAGTGCGCGCATGATGGAGGCACGCACGAACCCTTACCGGCGAATCGGGTCGGGTCGGGTCAGGCGGGACCCCCCCTGGGCGCTGCAGGGGCCCCGAGACGCCACGACCTCCACATCGAGGCCAGACCCCAAGAGGCCCTCCCTCCCCCAAGCGCTCCAGGAGAGCCCCGAGGCGCCACGACCTCCAGATCGAGGCCGGAGGTCGTGGTGAGCAGAAGCGCCCTGGGGACCTCCTCCAGGGGCTCCAGGTGGGCCCCAAGAGAAACGACGAAGACGACCACGACCACGATGATCGCGATCAGGACGACGACGACCCATGCGATGTAACAAGAAACTGTGACTTTCATGTGTTTGTCACTCTCCCTTGTACCTTCCCGCTAAGTCACTGAATCACCCCCCTTTTGAAAGGATTCGTTTCATACCAGCGCCTGGGAGAAGCATTCGGTGATCTGCATGCGCACAACGCCGCCAGTGAACGACTTCAGAGGAAGATGGGCGCTGGACCCGGCCGCGTGCGTCGCGCTAGGTGCAACATTACAACGTTTTGTCAGAGGACCACTTGTACAAGCGTCGCGAATGCAGGGAGGACCAGCTTGCGGAGCAGTTTGATGAAGCGCTATGTTCGATGCGCGAGGGCAGTCTCGGGCGCCTCAGAGAAACTGCATTGGGGACCTCTTAACCTCTGGGGAGCTTTTCGGAAGGATCTTTGGGGCATTGTGGAGCCTCTTGGAGGCGGGCGGCATGGGCCGTTTTGGTGGGCTTTGGCGCCGTCAGGCCCCTGCGGAGGCCATCTTGGAAGGTTCTCGGCAATACACGTACAGTCCAGTTGTTGTGGGCCTCCTCCTCCTCCTCTCCTCCTCCTCCTCCTCCTCCTCCTCCCTCCTCCTCCCTCCTCCTCCCTCCTCCACTCTCCTCTCCTCCTCCTCCTCCTCCTCCTCCCCTCCTCCTCTCCTCCTCCTCCTCATCCTCCTCCTCTCCTCCTCCTCCTCCTCCTCCTCCTCCTCCTCTCCTCCTCCTCCTCCTCCTCCTACTCCTCCCTGATCCTCTCATCCCTCCCTCCTTATCCTCCTCATCCTCATCTCCCATCCCCCTCCTCCTCCTCCTCCTCTCTCCTCCCCCTCCCCCCTCCACCCCTCCTCCCTCCTCCTCCTCCTCCTCCTCCTCCTCCTCCTCCTCCTCCTCCTCCTCCTCCTCCTCTTTCCTCCTCCTCCTCCTCCTCCTCCACCTTCGTCCCCTGTTCTCTCACTTCCTATCTCCTCCTCCTCTCCTCTCCTCCTCTCCCTCCTCCTCCTCCTCCTCCTGCCCCTGCCCTCCTCCTCCTCCCTCCTCCTCCTCCTCCTCCTCCTGGCTCAAGCCTGTCTCAAGCATTGCCGTTCAGGGAAGGCCTTGGGCGCTGGGGCTCGAGCAGGCCCCCCGCGGCCTTTTCGGCACCACGATCACGAAGTCTGCTTTCGCTCCCTTGTGCGCGCCCGCGAAGCGCAGCACAAGTCGCGATGGCCAAGCAGCAGAAGTTCATCACGTGCAATCGCCGCGGCTGTAAAGGCTGGGCTTGGTGTTCTACTGGTGCTAAGAATTGTGTTCAACGCGGTGGCCGTTTCAAGCAGCAGCAGCAGCAGCAGCAGCAGCAGCAGCAGCATGACCAGTCTGGAGGCACCCGTGGCAGTGCCGCCAGCAACCTCGGTGCCGCAGGCGAGGCAGGACCATGTCTCCAGCCTCCGCCTGAGCGCACCGTGACAAGCGTGACCGCTGGCGTGGACGTGACCGCTCTCGGGGGCCCAGTCACCCCCCAGGTCTCCGACGGCCAGGCGCAGTCTCGTTCGCAGAAGGAGATGAACCGCAGCCACGCGCAGAAGATCCTGTGGCTTTGGCGCAGGCGCAGGTCACATTCTGGAAAAGGTGGAAGCCCAACGTCGAGGAGCACACCGCGGCGTTGGGCAAGCTCAAGCCGGCCATGGCATCAATCTTGGCTTCGAAGTCCTTGGTGGACCAGCAGGCACAATCTCTCTCGGACCAGTTGGAGACCTAACGCCAGAAGTATGCATCACAAACGTCGTAACTCAAGCAGCTTGTTGAAGTCATCCTGGACGCCAGCGATAGGCATTCTGAGCTCGTCATGGAGGCCAAAAACACGCAGCAGGATATCCAGAACCTCGAGAGCCAGTACAATATGGTCAAGCAGGTTGCCATGCAGGCGGCCACCAAGGACGAGGACCTATTATCGAAATTGCAAGGGGTTCTCGCGGCGCGCATGTCGCCGGGCAGCAGGGCGCCGCCCGACCACTGCTCGAAGGTGGCCGAGCTCGAGACCTATTTCGACGACCTCACGACTCAGCTCGCGCAGTCCCAGGAGGCTGCGCCGAGGCCGCGGGTGGACAACGGTTCCCCGAGCGTCGGCGAGGCTCCTGAGGGAGAGCCCGACGCGCCGCTGACGCAGGCCACCGGCGCCGCCGCGGCGGCGGACGCCGCGGCCACAGGTGAGAAAGTGCCTTGCGCGAGCGACGCGGAGCTCGACACGGGAGCAGATGAGATGGACCAGACCAAGTCCCTGGCGCGCGCGGCGTCGGCCCCCCAGGCCGCCGCCAGCGGCATGGCCGAGATCCAGGGCCAGAAGGGTCCTGGGGCCTAGCGGGCCAAGGCGGCGGCAGCAGCAGCAGCGGCAGAAGCAACGGGGACAGCTGGGGCATCAGGGTCTTCACCGCAGTCTTCACCGCCGTCTCTTTGACAACGTCTACACATTCGCCGCGATCATCGGATCGTGCTGGGAATCAGTGAAAGGCTTAGTAGAGTCCAGCACTGCGCGCAATTTAACTCTCATCTGCGCCCAGGAGCACAGGCTTGAAGCATAGGACAGTATCATTCGTAAGATACAATGGTGCTTCGCACGAGACTGGCTTGCCCACATTTCGCCTGCCGTCCGCAACCCCTCGGGTGAGCTTGTCTCGGGGGTGGCGGTTTCAGTTCGGGATGGCTTGGGCCATGGGGTTCAGCCGCTGCAATTTCCTCCAGGGACTGACAGCTCCAGACTCGCTGGAGTTGTCGTCGAAGCGCCAGGGGTGCCAGCTTTCAGTCTGGCGCGCTTATTTTCAGGCATCATCGGGTCTCAATGAGACCTATTTAAATCTGCTGGCCGCCATCGCCAGGACCCAAGATCTAGCAGGCAAGCCTCTCATTGTTGCAGGTGGGTTCAATTTGCAGCCAGAGGGGCTTCAGCAGGGCACGGATTTCCTCGCGCGCGCCACGACGAGGGCAGCGGCGCCCAATGCCGACACCTACCGCACTAAGAAGACGAAGTTGACCCTCGATTTCTTCATCCACAGCCAGGCCTTGGGGCCCTGGCTGGAACCTCCCTGCACCTTGACCTCCTACCCCCTGGCCCCTACCGCCCTGTCACCATGGCCCTGCGCGCGCAGGACAAGTTCAAGATGCCGACGCTCCTCGGGCCCCAGAAGCTCCCCACTAGGACGCCCATTGGACCTCAGCTCCCGTCGGTCAGTTGGCATCAGACAGCTGCAGTGACAGATTCAATTTCTCGGAGATGCCTCGCAGCCCCTCTCCGACCAGCAGCGCCCCGCCATCCTGGACCACGCGCACTTCGCCCTCGCCCAGGACCGCGAGCACACACTCAATGTAAAACGGACACCCCCCTCAGACCCAGTAGAGCGGGTGGGCGACGTATCTTGCGCAAATGTAAGTTCTCGCCACCCTCGACCAGTAGGCAGCCGCGCACAGCTACATTCGCCTCGCGATGCTCATCGACGATTCAGCGCTGCAGTGCCATGCTGGGAGCTCTGAAGTAGCGATCAATCACATGAATTTGGCCGCTCCGTCGCTAGCCAGACGCATCAAGCACGAGATTTAATGCCAGATCGCCACCAAGAAGAGCCAGGTTTTAGCCTCCAGTCAGGACCTCCAAAACAAGCTTCGGAAGTCCCTCGGGGCGCGCGCCGGGCCCTCGACGGACATCTCAGGACCCAACCTCGGCATGGAAAGCGGGGCTGGACGGCCCAAAATGCGCCGGCGAAAAGGACGAAAGCTCGTCCAGCGCAATAACAAGATCAAGAAGCACATGGCCCGTATCAAAATGATTGAACATGCTGGAGGAAACGGTAAGACATTGCACTACACTGGCCTCG